GAATCTGTCGTCCCTTATTGAATTCTTCGCACGTGTCAATAATATCAATGGGAGTATACCTGAAACCCTGGGCCGATTGCCAAACTTAAACTTTCTTGCATTGGAGGAGAACAAGTTGGTTAGTACTATTCCTTCCTCAATCTTTAATCTCTCTTCCATCACATTTTTTGATATAGCAAGGAACCAAGTTCAAGGAAGACTTCCCTTAGATCTTGGAATTTCTTTTCCAACTCTTCAATGGTTTTCAGTTGCAAGTAACTTGTTTACTGGATCCATTCCTATTTCAATATCAAATGCAACCAACCTATATAACCTTGAATTAGGAGAAAATAAATTAAAAGGAAGAGTGCCTCCTTTGGGAATGATGCACAATCTTTGGTGGTTCAACTTTGAATACAATCATCTTGGAATAGGGGAAGCTGGTGACTTGAATTTTCTTAGCTCACTGCCCAATGCCACCAGTTTGAGCTTTTTGAGCCTAGGCTCCAACGACTTTGGAAGTGTAATAACCCCGATCCGCAATCAGCTACTAATTCGTAATTAAGGATGTTAATTAAGTGGATAAAATAAATTATGTGTTTATTATGTATTTTGCATGATTTTTGGCTTTCTATTTGTTACTTGTAAAAACATCTGTCTGGAATTCTGCTTTAATATGAAAATTGAAAGCTTTATCGGCATTCAAAATCGGAATTGGTTACATGAATATGTTATTCGGAATTTTTAGAACCATATGGCGAATTTTATTAAAAATTGATTCAATCTGATTAATTAAGTTGCGTTTGGCAAGCCTTATGTTCTAATTAATGTATTATGGCATCATGACTATATATGGCCCTTTACGCTCATTCTTAAGCTTATTTCTTCAACACTTGGAGCTCCCAAAATCTGAGATTTACATTATAGAGAGAGAAACTCTCATTTTAGAGAGAGAAAGGAAGAGATTTAAGAGGAATTGAAGGTTTTGTGTTGAACTCATCAAGATTGTGTAAGAACAAGTGTGTTTAAATATTCTAGGTAACAATTCAACCCCCAATTTATGAATCTAAGTTATCAACTTGAAGATTATGTGTTTAGATGTGTAAATTGAGCTTTAAATGAAGAATTTGGTTGTAATTCATACATGTAAGCATGCATAAGTGTTAAGTCACCATCTTGATCATGAACTTCATTATTGTGTTGAATTTGGAGCATGAAATGCACATGCATGTATATTTTACCAAGTTCTGAGAGTGAATTCCACGTTCATATAGTTTTAGAGGAGAATTGGGAGAAGGAATTTTACATACATGCATAAACATGAAAAGTCTTGCCATGTGAGTTAATCTTGACCATCTAAGTTGTTATCATAAATTATTTGGCACATGCATGTATAATTCATCATGTTTTAAAGTTTGAATTCATGTGTTGAAAAGGATTTCTCTCATGCATGGAGCTTTGAGCTCAATTTTGGCTAAATTCATGAGTTTTGAGATAAGGGTGTGTAAATGATCATATATCCATGTTTATGGATAAGTTTTCCAAGTTTTTGAACAAGCTTTGTATTATGGCATCATGACTATATATGGCCCTTTACGCTCATTCTTAAGCTTATTTCTTCAACACTTGGAGCTCCCAAAATCTGAGATTTACATTATAGAGAGAGAAACTCTCATTTTAGAGAGAGAAAGGAAGAGATTTAAGAGGAATTGAAGGTTTTGTGTTGAACTCATCAAGATTGTGTAAGAACAAGTGTGTTTAAATATTCTAGGTAACAATTCAACCCCCAATTTATGAATCTAAGTTATCAACTTGAAGATTATGTGTTTAGATGTGTAAATTGAGCTTTAAATGAAGAATTTGGTTGTAATTCATACATGCAAGCATGCATAAGTGTTAAGTCACCATCTTGATCATGAGCTTCATTATTGTGTTGAATTTGGAGCATGAAATGCACATGCATGTATATTTTACCAAGTTCTGAGAGTGAATTCCACGTTCATATAGTTTTAGAGGAGAATTGGGAGAAGGAATTTTACATACATGCATAAACATGAAAAGTCTTGCCATGTGAGTTAATCTTGACCATCTAAGTTGTTATCATAAATTATTTGGCACATGCATGTATAATTCATCATGTTTTAAAGTTTGAATTCATGTGTTGAAAAGGATTTCTCTCATGCATGGAGCTTTGAGCTCAATTTTGGCTAAATTCATGAGTTTTGAGATAAGGATGTGTAAATGATCATATATCCATGTTTATGGATAAGTTTTCCAAGTTTTTGAACAAGTTTTGCACGAGTTTACCTTTGAAATTGCATTTGGAAGCTCAAAACTCTATTTTTGAAAACCCAGAATTCCGCAGTCCGCTCAAGCGAGGAAACCTGCGCTCGAGCGGAGAATGCGAGCTCTCAACATTTTTGCAGGCATAAGCGCTCCACTCGAGTGAACCCTTTGTATCTTGTTGAACTGCTCGAGCGTGGGACTTATAGCTTGAGCGTAGATTGAGACCAACCAGTACTCGTGGATTGAGACCAACTAGTACTTTTTCAAACCAGCCGGTCTGCTCGAGCGACCAATGTTGCGCTCGAGCGAACAGGCCATTTTTAGCGCATTTTGACAAGTTGTTTTGCATTTCATTTCCATTCATTTCTGAGCATATGTAGACATGAAGTATGAGTTATTGAAGAATCATGAGCTAAGAATCGATGTATGTAAAGTGAATTAGAAATATGTGTCGAATCCCAGTATATGGGCAATATGAACAAGTTATGTGGCATGGAATGAATAAGCAATTAAAGTAAGAGAGCTAAGTCGTGGCGGCCATGTGAACACGTGTAATGATAAGATATGTTTGTGTTATGTACTTTTGTGATTGTAGGTTAACGTCCGAGGATTGATTGACAGTTTACGGGAGACCACTGTGAGTAACGTTATTGTAAAGATTCATATGAATTATGTTCCAAATGTGATTTGATAAGTTATGATTTCTGAAATGATATTTGTTTACGTGAACGAATGTCCTATGTTTGAAATCTATTATGGCATCCATAGATAGTCCCAAGTCATGGGGAACGGCATGTTAATGCGGGTCCATGACATATATGTGATTACGAGATCTCGTTAGCCACTTTATTGTGGTGATATGTATTTAATCGATATCCGGAACTGATTACTCTAGTCGGAAAACGGTATGTGATGTGTTCTATGGGATGTACCATTATTATGTTCGGATATGAGAATGATTATGTTATGATTTGTCTTATGATTATGAAATGTTCGGAATTCGTTCACTAACCTCTTTACCTTAACGTTATTCACTGGGTTTTAGCTCACTGTATGTATATATATATATATATGTATAGGTGGGCATTCTGGAGATGGAGCTTGAAGGCTTTTGTTTGGATCCGTGTTCTGTTGCCAGCCAACCATTGTGCCTCACATGGAGGTTCCTGAAGTGTCACGTGTTTTGGGCTCTGGTTATTTATGTATATAAGACTTTCTTTGTTTTGTTGGCTGTACTTAAAATGCTACATGGTGTGTGGGTATAACGAAAGAATAACTTTTGGACATGTATATTAAGTTTTAAATATTCTGTTTCATGTAAGTCTACATAGCTTATTGGACAACTATATTTATGTGTTTGCTTCCGCTAGCCCCTTAATTTTGTTAATCAGTTTAGAGGCCTTCGGTAATCCAAGGATTACTAGCCGGTTATGATACTAAACCTATAGGGGCGGGTTTGGGTTGTGACAGGAGGGGTGTTGCCAGAATCAATTGGCAATTTGTCCACTAATCTTGGTATCCTTATTTTAGAGAAAAATAAAATAGGTGGGAGCATCCTAACCGAGATGGCGAATTTGGTCAATTTACAGTATTTGGACATGTCAGAAAATCATTTTATCGGTAACATTCTTGCTGATATTGGGAAGCTACAAAAGCTACAAATTTTGGATCTCTCAGGTAATATGTTCTATGGGAAAATTCCATTGTCTTTGAAAAATTTGACTTCACTAGAGTATCTTTATTTAGAAGCAAATAATTTGCATGGAAACATTCCTCCATGTCTAGGAAAATGCCCCCTTGTAGAACTGGCTCTTGGTGGAAACAATCTTAGTGGTACCATACCCAAACAAGTTCTAACTCTCTCATCATTATTGAACTTGTACCTACATGAAAACCATTTGGTTGGGTCCATACACCTAGAAATTGGGAATTTAATAAATCTTGAACATTTAGATGTTTCTAGGAATATGTTGTCTGGAAAAATTCCAAGCACTGTTGGTAGTTGTGTAAAATTGACATTTCTATATATACAGAGCAATAATTTCTAGGGAACTCTTCCTTCATCTTTAAGTTATTTGAGAGGTATTGAGGAATTAGATCTTTCTCACAATAATTTCTCAGGAAAAATCGCAGACTATTTAGAGGGCTTTGTCTTCTTACAAAAATTAGATTTATCATTCAATGACTTTGACGGTGCGGTACCAGAAATAAGCATAAATTGACATTTCTATATATACAGAGCAATAATTTCTAGGGAACTCTTCCTTCATCTTTAAGTTATTTGAGAGGTATTGAGGAATTAGATCTTTCTCACAATAATTTCTCAGGAAAAATCCCAGACTATTTAGAGGGCTTTGTCTTCTTACAAAAATTAGATTTATCATTCAATGACTTTGAGGGTGTGGTACCAGAAATAAGCATATTAAAAAATGTAACAACTATTTCTATTAGGGGAAACAACAAGCTTTGTGGTGGTATACCTAAACTACATTTGCACAGTTGCAATACCAAGGGATTCAAAAGGAAAAGATTTACACTCATCTTGAAAATAATAATCCCCACATCGTTCGGGCTTTTAGGACTAGTAATAGTGTTGCGTTTATTGTATCTTTGTTGTTTTAGAAAGACAACAAAAGTACCCTCTTTGAGATTTTTAGGGAAGTCATATGTGAAATTGTCCTACCAAAAGTCTACTCAAGGCAATTGATGGGTTCTCTCCAGCCATCATGATAGGCATGGGTAGTTTTGGTTCAGTCTACAAAGGAATTCTTGATCACGGTGAAAAAGTTGTTGTAGTGAAGGTACTAAACCTTCAATTCCGTGGAGCTTCCAAGAGTTTTGTTGCTGAGTGTGAGGCCTTGAGGCACATCAGACATCGAAATATTGTCAAGGTTTTCACAGCATGTTCAAGTGTTGACTATAATGGTAATGATTTCAAAGCTCTGGTTTACGAGTTTATGGTCAATGGTAGCCTAGAGGATTGGTTACATGCAAATGAAAATGAAGAGGAGGTGCATGTCGAATCAAGAAATTTAAACCTCCTACAAAGGTTAAATATTGCCGTTAATGTTGCTTCTGCACTTGATTATCTTCACCATCATTGCTCGGAACCAATAGTTCACTGTGATTTGAAGCCAAGCAATGTTCTTCTGAATGATGAAATGATTGGGCATGTAGGCGATTTTGGGTTAGCTAGATTCCTTCCAGAAGGCACCGATAATTCTTCTGCAACTCAATCAAGTTCCATTGGCTTAAGAGGGTTTGTTGGTTACGCTGCTCCAGATAAATGTATCTCTTAGGCCTTTTTCTAATATTCTTTTTCACCTTCAATTTCCAACATACTTTAGAGTTTGATTTGCATATCCATCAAGTATGCTCCTTCGATCAATGAAGTAAAGCAGATGGTTCATTGGTTTAATTTCTTGTAACATCATTTGTCCTTCAAATGCATGAAAATCAATATTTGGCAAATACTTTCCAATGTGTTATTTAAAAGTAAATTATTATTTTTTTCTTTTCTGTTGAACATAAATTAGTCTGAAAAATATGAAACTCAAAGGAATGCAGGTTCTTAATTTCATTAGCTTCTTGCTTATAATATACAACCCAATATACAATCCCATTTTTTAGAGAATTTTCCATACATCTCCTATCTTGTTGGCTGCAAATCACAATCCATATAATTGTATTTACATTTATTTTTGCCTTCAATGGAGATGTACCAATATTGAGAAATCCTAGTATTTTTCTTGGTGCAAAATGTGAAAGCATAACAACGTACAATATCTAACTTTTGTTTATCTCCTATGTGTGTAGTCATAGGATAACATAAAGAGGAGATTAGAAAATCCTCTTTTGCTAATTTCAATCCTCCTCTCTATTTCTTTTACGTTAATAATTTTGATAAATACAAACCTAATTGGATAAATTGTCACCCAAGCTTCAATTGCTTATTTCTTAAGAAGATATTGAACCATCAACTGTTTGGTTTCATGAATATCACTGGGAAATAATCAAACTTGTTTCAAGTTGGGCCTTTCCTATGACACAAGCAGACAAACCAAATATTGTTATCTCACCAAGAAGAGACATAATTCTTTCCTATATTACTTTAAACAGTAAAGTTTTTTATGCTCTAAACCTGTTTTCTACAAAGAGTTATTTGTAGAAGGTATATTACTATTACTATTATTTAATATGCTTCTGGCCAAGCATCTTTACAATTGTATTTGCTTTGAATGATGCATCAATTGCAGAGTATGGTATGGAAAATGAGTTGACGACATCTGGTGATGTATACAGTTTTGGTATCCTCTAATTGGAAATGTTTACGAGGAAGAGACCTACTGATAACATGTTTAATGATAGTCTGAGTCTCCATAACTTTGCTAAGATGGCTTTACCTGAACAACTAGCGAGCGTTGTTGATCCAACACTAATTCAACAAAGAGAAATTGAGGAGGGAAACTCAAGCACCGAAAACACTCAGAATCAGAGCTTTATTGGCAGTCATAAAATTTATGAGTCCTTGATTTCAATACTTAATATTGGAATCGCATGTTCACAAGAGCTACCAAGAGATAGACCAACCATTAATCATGTTGTTACTCAATTGCTTGTGATCAAGAACAACTTTCTTCGAACTGATGGAGTTCATGGAGGAAGAAGAGCTAGAATTACAGTGTGATCATGAGTAGGTATGACCCTGTCACTTTCTTCGTAACTGAAGAATATACCTGCATTTATTACTGAAATTGTCGCAATTCTTCACCCAAATGACCACATTCTTAAACATTGACATTTTGAAGGTGACAAAAAATCAGTTATGGTTCCTGTCAAGCATGATGGTTTCATTATCGAATGGAAATTCTTTTTTTCTTTGGTTTTTTATTTTCTTTCCGTCAAAACTACGGTTCTTCTGCAAACTTGAGCAAATAATTCAACTAGATTCACATTACAAATGTGACTAAGAATTATACATAAGCAAAAAACAATCAAAATTAATCAACCTCTATTGCTAAAATCCTATTCCATGATACTGGAACCTCAGCTCTCATAACTTCAAAGTTGCAAAGTTCTTTCCCCTATAATCCCCTCCAACTTGATCTGGAAAACAAAATTGGTTAGAAACTGGAAGCATTTGAATGTCTTGACACAACTATGGTAGTTAGTGCATTTTGGCTATACACATAACAGAATTGATGGAAATGTAACATCAAGTGTTTTAATCTGCAAATGGCTAGGGTTGAAAAATATACCAACTGATGGAGTATTGTGCACCTACTTTGTTTTAATCCCTTGCAAAGCCTTAGAGGCTTATCTATTCCTAAGGAGAGCGGCGTTGTTTAGATTGCACTAGTTGCCGAAAAATAAAGACAAAAGGCAAACTGACATTTGGTTGCATGTATTATGGGTTACACTCATTCCATGAATTTTGCATTCAATTAAGCTCGAAACATGACACTAGATAAGGGCAAGTGTTGTTCTTTACTTCTATGTTTTTTCTTTTTCCTTTTATGATCTTATGAGTAATTGGTTTACAATAACATATATGTATACCTTTTTTCAATAAGGTACCAAAAAAAACTGATTTTCAAGTTGCTTCAGCTTCTTTTTTGTGCTATTTTAATTGTTTATCATTTCTCATCATACTGTTTGAAGTTTTACTTAGTCGTTTTTCTCTTCTCCTAGGTACTTGAGGTCTGATTAGAGTTCAAGATCTTTGTCGACTTAGTAACTATGTTATATTATCTTATGCTTTAATTTGTTTTTGTTTTTTTCCTTCCTTCTTTTATGTTTTTAGTTTGTCTCAAGCATGCACTTTTCTCATCTAAATGTACTTCAGGAAGGCGATGGCTTGCAATGGCTATCTATCCTGTTTTATACTCTAAAACAGGTTCATATGACTTGCAGTGTTTCCAAACAAGCTGTTGCTATAGAACTTATAATTGTTGTTGTGTTTGTTCGGAGGTATAAGAGAATGGGATTAGATTATATATTCTGGCCAATCTTGAGGTCTGATGGACTTGAAGATATTTGTCTACTCCACAACTATGTGATGCTGCAAATTATTGTTTTGGCCACGTGTTATAGATATGGTCCTATCCTTTAATTTTTTTAAAATTTTTTTTTATGATTTTATGTTCATCTCAGCAGACATTCAACTTTTCTCATTTCAATGTACTTTTTAAGAAGGCTATGACTTGCAATGGCTATTCTGTCATTTACTCTAAAACAGGTTCCATAGTTACGGATATGACTTGCAATTGTCTAAACTAGACGTAATTGTAAAACTTCTTATAATCTATATATATGTGGTGTGATATAAACTAAGATATGGTTTTTATGTATTATGTTTGCTTGTAATAATTAGAGAAATGTAAAGAATACTGTCTAAACTCAATTAGCTAGGATGAAGAATATTTTATTTTGTTTTTCTTATGATTTTTGTTGTGTTAAAGTTGTTATAGACTTGATTGTTTGTTGTCTGTTTTTTTAGTTAGTAAGAGTAGTTTGTCTGTTTGCAAGTTTTAGGACCTGTTGATGTATCCTTTTTTAACTCTCTACTTGTTTGAAGTTGTAGACACAAATTTTAAAACATGAAGTGTTTTAACACATTTCAAAATTTTATGTTACAAATGTTCACTGTTTAGTTTTTGGACTAAACAATGTTAATTATTTGAATAGCAGGTTCCTATTTCCGATATGTATTCCAGATCGTTAATTACACATTTTATATAAATGAAACCTCCGATTAATGAAGAACAAAATAAATAAAAAAAGATAATTTAAGAAAAATAAATATTTTATTGAAATTGTTATGGGCTTTAAACCCTCGAATACAAAGTATAATTCTTGGGTTTGGAACCCTTTACCTATTCATCGTCATTCTGCGTTTGTAGCGTAGGCTCTTGAGTTCTCTGGGCTTCTCTTCTTCTTTATTGTAACAACTTCTTTAGCTCTTAATTTCTTTCTCTCTCTCTGATCTTCTCACTTTTGATTTTCTGATCCCTGATCTTGTGTGATGGTCCTTGTATTTATAGAGGGCCATCCAGGTGATAAGAATGTCTCATCCTCAATTTGAATTTCAAACTGAATGATAGCGCCATTCAAATTTTGAATGATAGCACTATAGATCTTTGGGGTTTCATCCTGTGTGGTGTCCTTGTTATAGGCTCTACATGTGTCATCTTTCGTAGGCTCCACGTGTCACTTGAGCATCTTGAATAACGTTGTTGAGATATGACGTTGTTTTATTTATGCACTTTAACGGATCATATTGATCCTTTTTAGGAAGTGATTACCTAAAACATTCCTATCATAGGCTCTATGTGTGTTATTGACTGTGTTTGAAATTTAAACATAAATTTGGTTGAAATTTATGTGCCAACAAATGCCCCCTCGTGACTTGCACAAGTGAATTTTCTTAATTGTGCGAGTCACGACAAATTGGCACTTTTATCTAGATCATCTTTAGGTCTTGGATGGGATTATTTATTGGCCTTGGTCCCTTTCTGCCACTTTTTAGGCGTTGTATTTTTTTTTTAAATGGGTTGATTGCTCCTTTTAGTCCATGGGCCTTTTATTATTTTTGTTGCATGTTCCTCTTTTTTATGGACTTCGGCCTTTTCATGGGCCTTCTTTTTCTTTTCTTTTTCTTTTGGTGCATGGGCCTTTTTTTTTTGGCATGGGTCTCTTTTCAGGGACTTCTTTTTTCATAAGGGTCATGGATAAGGTCCAAAGATTTAATTGGACCTTTCCTTTTGTAGGCCTCCAACTTGCCACCATTTTTTTTACAGCAAATTTTTTTTCTAGGCCATCATGGATTTTTCTAGACCATCATGGTCCTTTCCTTTTCTAGGCCACCATTTTTTCAATTGGGCCTTTTCTTTTGTGGGTCTCCAACTTGCCACCATTTTTTTTACAGCAGATTTTTTTCTATGCCATCATGGATTTTTTTAGGCCATCATGGACCTTTCCTTTTCTAGGCCACCATTTCTTAATTGGGCCTTTTATTTTATGGGCCTCCAACTTGCCACCATTTTTTTACAGCTGATTTTTTCCTAGGCCATCATGGATTTTTCTTGGCCATCATGGACCTTTCCTTTTCTACGCCACCATTTTTTTAATTGGGCCTTTTCTTTTGTGGGCCTCCAACTTGCCACTTTTTTTATTTATTTTTTATTTTTATTTTTTAGGATCAGATTTTTTTTTACAGCAAATATATATATATATATATATATTACGAGTTTGTCTAAATGAAATAGGATGGATTGGCATTTGTAGGATTTCAAATCCTACACAAACTCTTACTTCTTTGGAGTGTTTCAAATCCTACCTAAACTCTTGCTTCTTTGAAGTATTTTAGGAGACCACTACCTCCTTTCTTAAGCAAGAATTTTTTGCTTTATATGACACTTATCCATGCATGTGGACAATAGATATTTTTCCTCCTGCAACTTTGTTCTCCTAGCAGAATTTTTTTGTTTCTAGCAATTTCCCAGCAACCTCTTTTTTCCTATACAAATTTTGTAGTGCATATTAGGTCTTCATCCTTCCACTTTATTTCCATCAGAAGTTGTCTAACCATTGTCTTTCTTCTTTTCCCAGCAGAAGCTGTTCTTCTTACACTTTAAAGAAGGCACAAAAGAATTTCCTCAAATTCCTTTTAATCAGGTATGCTTCCCTTATACTTTCATCATAATATGAACCTATCTGTTGCTTTCTTTTCACCTTTTTTTTTTTTTTTTTGTTGCTGCCAGTCATGAGACCAAACAGAATTTTTTTTCTATGATTGCAAAAACTGTCACCCTCTTTGTTTAAAACAAAGACAGCCCATTTTGCTAGACCATAAACCCGAATAGTCTAACAAACAAAGACCCTTCTTGAAATCGAGACAATCATGTAGTAAAGATCTGTTTGCTTCCCTATTTGTTTAAAACAAAAACAACCCATTTTGCTAGATCATAAATCCAATTAGTCCAACAAACAAAGACCCTTCTAGAAATTGAGACAACCATGTAAAAAAAAAAAAACTTCAACCGCTTTTTCGCTGCTACCCCATTTTTTTAAGTCTGTCTGTCACAGTAAAGATCTGTTTGCTACCTTATATATATATATATATATATATATTTGAAGTCCTGCAAGCATTTTTGTTGCTAGATCATGAGCCCAAGTAACGTCCTTGCTGATACAAACAAAGAGCCCTTTTCTTTTTCTTTTTCTTTTTCTTTTTCTTCTTTTTCTTCTTTTTCTTCTTCTTCTTATTTTATTTATTTATTTTTCTTTGCACAAGAATTGTTGACATGGCTGCCTTCC